ATAGTGTAAGAGGATCTAACGGAGCGATTGAAAAAACACAATTTTGTGTTGCCTTCATATATGTAATTTTTGCCGAGGGCACATAAAGTCATATTTTCCCAATCGCTCTGTTGGAGTTATTTGTTTCACATTTTTTTGAGAATTTTCGAACCATTAAAACCTTAATGGGTTCTGCAGACAACATTTATAGACACAATTTTAGTTCTGGTACTCCACTGGGTCCTAATATAATTAACTTTCAGAGAATGATGGGATTTACCTCAGCAATTGCATATTTCATATATTGGATAGTAAATCTATGAAACACTGTCACTATGTTCTTCTGCAAGTTTCTGTTGATTACATTCATGCATATTTATGTTTAGAGTCAAAACAAGTCCTACAAATAATATGCCATAGTTTATTTTCGGATTCTGGAAATAATTAAATGCCAGTTTATAAGTATTTATACTAAAAATGATATCTCTGACAACCTCTCATGCCAATGGGGCAATACTTCCAGTCCAAATTCATATTTGGCTTTGCCAGTTTCATAGAAATGCTACCTGGATACTGGAGTAGCAACCGTGTGTGAGAAAAGCCTTTTACTTATTCATTGAGAGTTCATTTGTATCGACATCTACTATCTTTGGTCCTTTCCAAGGGCCAATAAGAAAGGGCAAGTTATATATGTTAACTGTCATGGGTACTTTGCTTAAAGAGTACTTGCAGGTTTTCATACCACTCTATCACTAGGATTTCCTTTCAGTTTTTTCTTACACTCTAGGCAAAATATGAATAGCCTCCACTTCAGTTACTTGCCGATAGGTGGTGAACCTGCAAGTAGTTTTTATCATAGTGTGGTAAGCATTGAGAAATTTGTTCATCATACCTCTAAGGTTTAGTGGAAGTATTGTGGTAGTCAGGCAGGAATCATGTTCCAATTACGCCCAGAAGATTTTCATCCTTGTTCTAGCTTCATTGAAGATAAATGTATTATGGCAATTGCACCCTTCCAGGTTTGTGCTTGATTACCTATTCGTATAAATTTGTTTCTTGTGGCAGATAAAGAATAATTTTTGTACGTACATCCTATCCCAACTTGGTAGGTTTACTAATGCCCTGTTCGTATCATGTCTTGTGCTTCTACCGTTAAGTTTGTTATGTTGGACATTGGTGATGATCAGGTAAAGGAAGAAACATTCCAAGCCTCAGGTTTTTCTATACCAATCCCCCGGCTGGTAAGCTCAGGCACTCGTAATGTAAACCGACTTGGATCACATCTAAAATGTCTTTATTGGTCTACTGTAATGAGAAAACCTTTCTTCCGGCAGCACTACAATGCAACATTCAATAAACAGAACTCAATTTTGATATTCTTTTGAACCTTTTTTCTTTGAAAAAAGAATAATTGAATAAAGGAAGGAATATATCATGCACTCACAGTTTTGTCAGTCAGTACCTTATACATGTGTACCAGGAGCATTGGTTTTGCTTCATACATGATGACATGTGAGTGTTGGCCGCCAACTGCTCCTGCTGTCACGGCTAAATCTAGCAGGAAAAAAAAGGAGAGTGACCTCAGGCTGGGCAGGCCATATGGACAACCAGCCCATCACACAATGACCAGCAAACAATTCCAACCAAAGTCAGGCATAAGAGTGACCTGCGACAAAACGCGGCACGGCAAGGTGAGTGGACTGCAGCTTACACCAAATCCGATCAATGTATAGGATGATTTGAGAGCCATAGCGTGGGTCAAGAGTGTCAAGTGAATCAAAAAGACTGGCAGTATAAATCCAGATCCCATCAAACCACTTTTGCTTGAGTTGGGCTTACATTTACCAATTGCACAAACCATGATTAAAAACCTTGAACAGTAGATAAAGTACAGTACTGCTTAGAAGAATGACAATTTGGGAACAATAGGGCAATAGAATTACACATGGGTCTTTAGACTCTGAAAGAAAGAGCATTATGAGGGGAACTACACAACATGGCTCTTTAGACTCTGGAAGAAAGAGCATTATGAGGGGAAACTACACAAAACAGAGTATGAAAAGTGAAAGTGACGGAGTGACAGAGCAAATTGCACATCACTCAGCAGTTTCAGCACACTCAAAAAGAAAAGGAAAAATATATGAAATGATACACCAGTAAGAAAACTTAGCACTGATCACTAGACGGCACGACCAGTGTAGCACGTCGCGGTGATGTCGAATGCTTCTTCTTACTTCCCAGGAGCAAAAGGATCCCGCCTTTGTCGAACTTGATAGGCAGCAGACCAAGAATAACCCCAATGTGATTTCTTGTTCTTAGGCAGATGCCTTGTCGAACTTGAGGGGCTTCACCACCTCCCAGGTGAAGTCGGCATCATCGCGGCCAAAGTGACCATAAGCAGCGGTCTTGATGAACCTGTTTCCACCTTTCTTCAAGTCCAGGTTGATGCTGATCATCCCAGGCCTGAAGTCAAAGTTCTCCTTCACGAGCTTGAGGATCTCCCTGTCGGGGATCTTGCCGGTGCCGTAGGAGTCGACGAACACAGACAGGGGCTCAGGCACCCCAATGGCGTATGAGATCTGCACAATGCAGCGGCGTGCGAGACCACTGGCGATGATGCTCTTGGCAGCCTGCCTGGCAATGTAGGCACCACTGCGGTCGACCTTGGTCGGGTCCTTGCCAGAGAAGGCGCCGCCGCCGTGGGCTCCCCAGCCACCGTAGGTGTCGATGATGATCTTGCGGCCGGTGAGACCGGCATCACCGTGAGGTCCGCCGATGACGAAGCGGCCAGACGGGTTCAGGTGGAAGATGGTGTTCTCATCGAGGTACTTCCCAGGAATCACTGGCTTGATGACGTGCTCCTTGAGGTCTGCGGCAATCTCGTCGTTGGTGACGGTCTCGTCATGCTGTGTGGAGATGAGGACGGTGTGCACACGAACAGGCACCATGGCACCACCCTCGTTTAGGTACTCAATGGTGACCTGGGTCTTTCCGTCAGGCCTGAGCCAGGCGCAGGTGCCATTCTTGCGGACCTCGGTAAGGCGAGCTCCAAGCTTGGTGGCGAGCATGTGGGTGAGGGGCATCAGCTCAGGAGTCTCATCGGTGGCGTAGCCGAACATGATGCCCTGGTCACCGGCACCGATCTCTTCAGGGCGCTTGGTGAAGTGTCCGTGAACACCCTGGGCAATGTCAGGGGATTGCTGCTCGATGTTGACGAGCACCTTGCAATGGTCGGCATCAAGACCGACGTCGTCAGAGATGAAGCCGATATTGCGGCAGGTGTCGCGCACGATCTTCTCGTAGTCGACGGTGGCCTTGGTGGTGATCTCGCCAAAGACCATGACCATGTTGGTCTTGGTGCAGGTCTCGCAGGCAACCTTGCTGTCGGGATCCTGGGCCAAGCAGGCGTCCAAGACGGCGTCGGAGACCTGGTCGCACAGCTTGTCGGGATGGCCCTCGTTCACGGACTCGGACGTGAAGAGGAACGTCTCGGCCGCCATTTCTTCCGTGCTAGCGATGCTCTGCGAATGGAAGAAAATCCAACGATTAGAATCAAACGCATATGAGTCGTGCCACAAAATCACGGTACTGTCCCAGCTACAGAGCATTATAGATGAGAACTCTTATGACTAATCTACACGTCCAGGCACAACAAGAAAAACACCCCAAAACAAGAAAAACAACAAACAGGCCCCTGAGGGGGGTGATTGCTGAACCATCCTGAATCTACCGCCGTCTTCCACACGCCGTCAAAGCCGCCGTCGGAGGAAGGAGCGACGAGAGCCACGAGCCGAAGACCCGCCGCACGCCATCGCATCGAAGCTTTAAAGATCCGAAGAAAGGGCACATCTCACTGTGGCCCATCGGCCGAGGACCACCCCGTGCCTCGGTGCCTGGCGAGCCTCAGATCCGCCATCCCCGGCCGACCACGTCAAAAAGGCCTGGCAACAACCAATCAACCCTGCGCCAGAAGAGAAACCGCCGCCGCCGTCGCCATGAGAAGCAACATCAGCCGGCGACGGCGACCCAGTGTACACATCCACCCGGCCACACAGCAGCCCAAGAGCAAGAACCGCCGTGAGGACGACACAGACGGAAAAACAAAAGATCCATAGCAAAGTGACGACGCCGCCACGACGACCACACCCCGACGCCCGGATACACCAGGCTGGCCACTCCGACGAGGAGCCGGAGCACAATTATTGGGCGTGGCGCCGCCGGCCGGATACAGCGACCCACCCACCTACCAACCCCTTTCACCTCTCTCTTTTTAACTAACTAGCCATGTTTTCATCACGACAAAGCTACGTAGTAATTAAGCGAGCCACGTATGATGAAAAAGTAGAAGATAAATTAGACATGGATGATCGAAGCACGATCAGGACGCGGTGAAGCTAACCTTGTGCAGTTGTGCTGATGCTATTCTTCAGGAGGCCGAAGAACCGAAAGGAAGAGGTCGAATGTATGCACGGTGCTGTAAGGAGATCCCGGCCGCGCAATTTATAGGGGCGGAGGGCCCGCAAGGTCGTGCATGAGTGTTGCTGGTGAGAGCGCGGGACTGCACAACCTGTGCTGCAGCCCTTTGCTGAAGCCCTCCTCGCCACCAAACCCCATTTTTTGCGGTGGGTCAGATCACCTACCAACCATCTACTTTATTTTCTTCCCCACTTGCCCTCTTTTTTAGAAGATCTTCTCCACTTGCCTTGCCTAGTGAGCTGCCTCCGTCAATTCACTATGGACGTGTTTGGTAGGCTACCTGTAGCTAAGTATGCGTGTATAGTTTTCGTCAGTTTTTTAAAAAAACACCTGTAGTTTTATTCATATTCATAACAATCACAGATACACTGATTTGAATTTAAGATCCAAGAAAATAGAAAGTAACTCATATAACTAATAAAATCCCTTGGAAACACCTTCTTGGTGGTATTAATCTCTGCTAGAAGAAATTCTTCAGAGACTTTGGTAAAGAGGCTGCAATTGGACTGAAGCAATGATATTGTCTCTCTTCCATCCGCACGAATATTGTCAATAATGGTTTTTGAAAGTGCCTTGAGTCACCCATCCCAGAAGATGAGAAGTCTTAATTGATAAACGTACTTGGGCTGGGGATGACCCCCCTAGAAATGCAGGACGTCAAAATACGATATCTTCACCATGGTGTCGATGAAATATTTCACCTCCATAAAGAATCAAACCAACAAAAAAAAGGCTTGACACACTAACATGAACTCATCAGATCTGAATAACCGAATCTACGAGGATAGAAAATTCTCTAACCTCATGGCACAGCCAAAAGAACGAGAGTACTTTTGTTTTCACAAAATACAAAGATCACTAGACGCTGACGAAGAACATGAAACTCTTGAAGATGCGAGGTCCCCCCACCTCGCAATGCCAATATGGTAGCTGGAGGCGAGGGAACCAAAAGTCCCTAGCGGTGGTCAGCGGCGGGGCTGCAGCTGTGCCGTTCACGAGCCCTAGACAAATAGAGTTAGGTCGCCAGTTTGGTTGCCTGTGTTTTCTGTTGGGACTGTATGACAAAGAACACAAAGGACTCATGGGCCTGCGTGAGGAGGAACAGTTGATCGGTTGTTTTTTTGGATCCAGGCTCGAGCGAGCCATGTGTGTCCCTCACATGCATGCTTGGGGAAGCACCGGAGATGGACGAGACGTCCTGAATCCACCAAACCCCCCCCCCTTACCGCTCAAACCTCGTTCACACCTTATTCTCTCATCACCATCCGGTCTCACCGATGGTCGCTCCTGTTGGGGAACGTTGCAGAAAGCAAAAAATTTCCTACGGTTTCACCAAGATCCATCTATGAGTTCATCTAGCAATGAGTGATCGAATTGCATCTGCATACCTTTCTAGATCACGCGCGGAAGCATTCAAAGAACGGGGATGAGGAAGTCGTACTCGACGTGATCCAAATCACCGGAGATCCTAGCGCTGAACGGACGGCACCTCCGTGTTCAACACACGTACGGTCAGCGTGACGTCTCCTCCTTCTTGATCCAGCAAGGGGGAAGGAGAGGTTGATGAAGATCCAGCAGCACGACGGTGTGGTGGTGGATGCAGCAGTCACCGCAGCAGGGCTTCGCCGTTCTTCTGCGAGAGGGAGAGGTGTAGCAGGGGAGAGGGAGGCGCCAAGAGTCAAGGGTGAGGCTGCCCCTCCCTCCCCCCTTTATATAAGGCCCCTCGCCGGCCCTAGGAGATGGGATCTCCTAGGGGGGGCGGCGACCAAGGGGTGGAGTGCCCCCCAAGCCAGGTGGGGCGCCCCCCACCCTAGGGTTCCCAACCCTAGGCGCATGGGGTGGGCCAAAGGGGGCGCACCAGCCCACTATGGGCTGGTTCCCCTCCCCACTTCAGCCCATGGGGCCCTCCGGGATGGGTGGCCCCACCCGGTGGACCCCCGGGACCCTTTCGGTGGTCCCGGTACAATACCGATGACCCCCGAAACTCTCCCGATGGCCGAAACTGCACTTCCTATATATAATTCTTCACCTCCGGACCATTCCGGAACTCCTCGTGACGTCCGGGATCTCATTTGGGACTCCGAACAACTTTCGGGTTACTGCATATTCATATCTCTACAACCCTAGCGTCACCGAACCTTAAGTGTGTAGACCCTACGGGTTCGGGAGACATGTAGACATGACCGAGACGGCTCTCCGGTCAATAACCAACAGCGGGATCTGGATACCCATGTTGGCTCCCACATGCTCCTCGATGATCTCATCGGATGAACCACGATGTCGAGGATTCAAGCAACCCCGTATACAATTCCCTTTGTCAATCGGTACGTTACTTGCCCGAGATTCAATCGTCGGTATCCCAATACCTCGTTCAATCTCGTTACCGGCAAGTCACTTTACTCGTACCGTAATGCATGATCCCATCACCAGACACTTGGTCACTTTGAGCTCATTATGATGATGCATTACCGAGTGGGCCCAGAGATACCTCTCCGTCATACGGAGTGACAAATCCCAGTCTTGATCCGTGTCAACCCAACAGACACTTTCGGAGATACCCGTAGTATACCTTTATAGTCACCCAGTTACGTTGTGACGTTTGGTACACCCAAATCACTCCTACGGTATCCGGGAGTTACACGATCTCATGGTCTAAGGAAAAGATACTTGACATTGGAAAAACTCTAGCAAACAAACTATACGATCTTGTGCTATGTTTAGGATTGGGTCTTGTCCATCACATCATTCTCCTAATGATGTGATCTCATTATCAATGACATCCAATGTCCATAGTCAGGAAACCATGACTATCTATTGATCAACGAGCTAGTCAACTAGAGGCTTACTAGGGACATGTTGGTGTCTATGTATTCACACATGTATTACAATTTCCGGATAACACAATTATAGCATGAATAAAAGACAATTATCATGAACAAGGAAATATAATAATAATCCTTTTATTATTGTCTCTAGGGCATATTTCCAACAGTCTCCCACTTGCAGTAGAGTCAATAATCTAGTTACATTGTGATGAATCGAACACCCATAGAGTTCTAGTGTTGATCATGTTTTGCCCTAGGGAGAGGTTTAGTCAACGGATCTGCGACATTCAGGTCCGTATGTACTTTACAAATATCTATGTCTCCATCTTGAACATTTTCACGAATGGAGTTGAAGCGACGCTTGATGTGCCTGGTCTTCTTGTGAAACCTGGGCTCCTTGGCAAGTGCAATAGCTCCAGTGTTGTCACAGAAGAGTTTGATCGGCCCCGACGCATTGGGTATGACTCCTAGGTCGGTGATGAACTCCTTCACCCAAATTGCTTCATGCGCTGCCTCCGAGGCCGCCATGTACTCCGCTTCACATGTAGATCCCGCCACGACGCTCTGCTTGCAGCTGCACCAGCTTACTGCTCCACCATTCAACATATACACGTATCCGGTTTGTGACTTAGAGTCATCCAGATCTGTGTCGAAGCTAGCATCGACGTAACCCTTTACGATGAGCTCTTCGTCACCTCCATAAACGAGAAACATGTCCTTAGTCCTTTTCAGGTACTTCAGGATATTCTTGACCGCTGTCCAGTGTTCCTTGCCGGGATTACTTTGGTACCTACCTACCAAACTTACGACAAGGTTTACATCAGGTCTGGTACACAGCATGGCATACATAATAGACCCTATGGCTGAGGCATAGGGGATGACACTCATCTCTTCTATATCTTCTGCCGTGGTCGGACATTGAGCTGAGCTCAATTTCACACCTTGCAACACAGGCAAGAACCCCTTCTTAGACTGATCCATATTGAACTTCTTCAATATCTTATCAAGGTATGTGCTTTGTGAAAGACCTATGAGGCGTCTTGATCTATCTCTATAGATCTTGATGCCTAATATATAAGCAGCTTCTCCAAGGTCCTTCATTGAAAAACTCTTATTCAAGTAGGCCTTAATGCTGTCCAAAAAGTTCTATATCATTTCCCATCAAAAGTATGTCATCTACATATAATATGAGAAATGCTACAGAGCTCCCACTCACTTTCTTGTAAACGCAGGCTTCTCCATAAGTCTGCATAAACCCAAACACTTTGATCATCTCATCAAAGCGAATATTCCAACTCCAAGATGCT